GGCTCCTTTTCCCCTTGAGCTTCTCCAGCATTTGTTATTATTTGATTTCTTGATGATAGCTATTTCTGGAATAAGATGGAATCTTGTGTTGTTTTAATTTGCGTTTCTCTAATAGCCAGTAATGTTGAACATTTGTTCATATATTTCTTGCCCATGAGAGTTAAAATTATATTACATTGATATATGCACATTCATGTTTATAGCAGTGGGCAATTTATAAGTAAATCTTGGAAAAAGTTTGCTCATCAATGGATAAATGGATAAAGATAATGTGCTATTTATACACAATGGAGTACTACTCTGCCATAAAGAGGGATAAATTTGAGGCAATTGTAGGAAAATGCAGTTTGAGACTATAATATTAAGTGAAATAAACTTAAATATCACATGATTTCTCTTATATGAGAAACCCCAAATATAAATAAAGAGCAAAATAAAATCTAGATGTGCTAAGTAGGGAGATATTTCTTAAATTCATAGCAGCTCAAGACATGGGGACGAGGAAGGAAATGGGATTAAAAAAAAATTAAAAGGAAAACATAAAAATAGGTATTTTACAAATGGGAAGAAGACCAAGAGGTGGAAGGAACAGAGAGGGATGGGAGGAGCAGAGGCTAGAGAAAGAGTAAAGAGATGTTATGTGCATGTACCACCATCCCACAAAAAAAATACAATCATTATACTCAGCAAACATGCACTAATACAACAAACAGTATAGGACTATTTTAAATTGTATAAGTTATCTAAATACTACCTAAATATTATTTTTGAACAATTATTTTTATCCTTTCTTACCATAATGGTTCTCTTTATTAGCCTAAAAAGAAAACTTATCTAGGTACAGCAATTATTTATTTTTTCTACAAAGATGAATCAAGAAGTATAAGAAGAGAAAAATATATCATTGTTTTGAAAACCAGCCCCTTTATATACTCTTGCCTTTCTGACTTGCTTGTTTTGCATTATTAGTTCATTACTTAGGCTGTGTGCACATGGCTTGGACTAATAATTTGTACCTGTTGGCTCTGTGTACTCGTGTAATTCCCTCCTGTTACTCACAGTCACTTCAGTGCTAAGAGGTAAAAGTGGAGAGCTTGTGGTAACATTATTTATGCTGCAGTGAACTCCCGCTGTGCTAAACCCAGCTTCCATGGCTGACTGCTTGGAAGCTCAAATTCTCATTTCATGAAAGGAATTTAAACACTTGATAAGAGAAGTGAAACAATGTTTATTTCTGGTTTAACTATTTAACTTTATTTTTTGGCCTAATATAATACATAACTAGATGGAAATTATTTATGGTCCGAAAACTTTCTAGAAACAATAAAATACAATGTCAGTTTTGAAGGACTCTAGCAATTGGAGATTGGACTAGCTTACTTTATTAAAAAGAGTAAACTGGTTACTTCTTAGTACTGAGAGGATCACGTTATACTGGCCATATCATTAAGGTTTCAAGTGTTTTTCTGAATTCAGAGGGAGGTATGAGTATCAGCTTTAAAATTTCATAGGAACATAACATTTATTTTATAACCAAAAGTGGAAGTCTGGGAATTAAAGTGGACCAGATAATGAAAAAGTACAGAACACCTTCATTTTATAGATACAAACTACTAAGAGCTAATTGCTGGAACAGAGGACAGTGGTAACTCCTGATAATAGACCCCAGTGACCCAGGGGCCAGGAAAGCAGCAAGGTGGACACAGTCATTTCATGTTAGGTTTGATTTCTGTGTCTAAAACTGATTTGTAGAGATTATTTTATTTTTATAGGCTACTTTTGAGCATTTATTCTAGTCTCTGAAAACAGGAACAACCTGAAATTGACTGACGTTGTAGCCTTGAATAGATCATGGAAAAATACTTCTGGTGTAGTTTGTGTGAACTGAAATAATGTAGAAATAGACAAAGGAAAATGTGTAATCATGTTTCTCACTAGGCAAATTTTAACGCCCCATATTTGTATGAAATTAGATGATACAGTCATATAAAATAGCACCGTTAAATAGAAATAGTCTCATTAAAAAGTTAGAGAAATGGGTGAAATAACTTTATGATATATTTTACTTAACTCTGTACTGACAGTATTTTTTGAAAATGTTATTAATATAAAAATTATTCATGGGGGGTTTTTTTGCCCTGTCTTCTAAATACAGTATTTTATACTTAGAGCAAAACTGAATTTGGATGGAGCACATTTCATTTGCTCATGGTGTCTAATGGCTGCCTTTTAGAAAGCATAATTCTAGGACAAGTATTTTCCATTCTTTCCTATTTTGTACATATCTACACGGAGCTCAGAAACTATTGCCGAGTGATTACTTTTGGAAAGGAAGGCTGCATACTTTTGATTTGGTCAGGAAGCAGTTATGACAATGTGATTCCTATTCTTGGGTGGCTCCAGCAGCAGTTATGCAGTCAGTGGCATGGAATACTAAAGGCTAAAAAGTGGCTTGACTTGCCTCTATCATTTGTGAAACTAAGTGTTACAGTTGTGCAGAGAATATTGTGTCCTTCATTTGTGCAGAACTGAATTGTCAGTTTTTTGTTTTATTAAAAAGTATACTTTGAGGGATTTTTTTTTGTATAGATATAAGACAGGGATATCTTTAAATGAATATTTTTATTTTCTACAGCAAAAGTTTCACAGCTTCAATTATTTGCTTTTAGTAATATTTTTAAATATTGGAAACTCCTTTTATTGGTGTCAGACAGATAGATAGATAGATAGATACATAGGTAGATAATCATTCCCATTGCTATTTCTTTAAGGGCATTTGAAACTTAGAAAAAATTAACTTTTTCAAACTAGAATAAAAGGTTTTAAGTTTGAGTTTTGTTTTTGCGTCCTATATTATGGTTTGATTATGTGAATTACCTTAAAATGTTATTTATTGAAGTTGTGTTTTAGTAATAAAACTTTTTTAAATGAATGCTGGCTTATGCACTTTGTGGGTTAAATGAATTAGGCTATAAACTTATCAGAATCTGTGGAGCTTGAATATAAATTGAAAAGATCATAGCTATGGGGAGAAGACCTACACTGCAAAGGCCTTCCTGCATAGATTATGAACATCATAACTCAATAAGTTTTTCAAAACTATGGTTATAATTGGACCCAATGGGGGTCTCTTTCTTTGATCAGATCACAGCAACTGTGACTTTACACTGGAAAATGTCACTACTGTGCAGGTTTATCACCTGTAGAGCTGCTCTTTTCTCTGATGCTGTGTTCATTTCTCATTAGCATTATTCAAAGTTTAGTTCTTAATTAGTTTAACACTTCAGTTACAATTATCATTTACAAGAGTAGTCAGGACTGCTTGTATAAAGAAGTAAAAGTATTTATTTTTGCATATATATATATATATGTATATATATATATATATATGTAAAGACTGAATGGCACTTTTATTATTTGGTTGTTTCCTATGGGTAAGAACATGCTCTGTTAAGTTAATGTACAGTTAGGATTTGTATCATTAAGTTGCTTTTTATCGTAAGAAAATGAATTGTTATATAGCTTCATGTTTCTGTATTATCCACGAGGAATGTATATAACAAATGTTTTTAAATGTATAAAGTATAGTTATATGTTTGTATAAAAGGAATCAGTGAGTAAATGGGATACATAGAATATTATCTTCCTCTCCTTGAAAGAAATGAATTTATATCAGGAATGTGAAATCACTTAAAAATTAACCTAAGGGAAGTTTGTAAGTATAATTTTCTGTGTATATAACACTTGAAATTAAAGAGCAAATTATGTATGAAAAATTATGATTAAGTGCTCTTTAAAATTTTGCAAATGCTTAGGTAAATTTTTCTTTGATTTAAAATTATCAGTACTTTATTGTTATTACTGTTTTATGAGGAAGTGACTTTGAATTCAAACCCAGCATGTGGTACTGATAGACTGAGCTTGTATCGTAGATTTACCACTTATTAGTTTCATACTGAGGGCAAATTAATGCCTTTGTTTATTTTTAAATTTTTATTAGTACATGTTTATAGTACATAATGATTACATTCATTTTGGTGAAGTGGTACATGTACATAACACATCCTAATTTTGTTTTTCCCCTTCACCCCTTTTATTTTGTCAGCATCAGGTTAACTTATAAATCCTTATAAAGTTAATTATTAAATATACAGTTTAACAACCAGACTAAACATATATAAAAAAATCCACATAAGACAATTATACTAAATCAATGATACTTTTAGCTACATTGTCCATGCCAAATTATAGTAACTTTTTTCTTTCTCTTTTTTCTTGTTATGTATTTTGCACTTTATCTATTGAGTTTTTTATAAAAGAGAAACCATGTGATATTTAAGCTGATTGTGTTTGATTTTAATGCATGTCTTTGTATTTCTTATTTCTTCATACATTAATGGTATTATGAGTGGTTTTCTTAGAATACAGTTGTGAAATTGAGTGTATATAACATTTGCATAATATAATTCTCCACTCATAGTATGACCTCAATAACTTTCTCTCTTCTTCCCCCTTTCTTCTACTAATGATAAAACTATTGACTGGAAAATTACACATGCAAATGAGGCTTCCAAAAGTAAAATAAAATAGTAAGCAATCCCAGAGGACCCATAACAAATAACCCTACATAGCAGAAATGATTGATAGCCAACCAGCTTCACTTCAGAACAAGTAGACACATGTTGTAATTTTCTAAAAATCTGCAGAAAAGTGGCTCAGAAGCAGTTTACTGTAAAATAATTAAAGCTTATTTATGTCAAGAGGCCTTAGAAAAAAAGAGAGCATAAACCAATTTGCATTAGCACGTTCCCATCCTCTCCTGCTTTCGTTTCAATTAGCAGACCAGCAGGTGCTCTCTGCAGTTAAAAAGATAAGCTATCAGGGAGGAGGATGAATTTTTGGCTGACCTGCAGACTCTGTGGTTTGTCTGCTGATTGGGTTCGTACCTCACTGTACCAATTTCTGAGGTGTTAATTTAACTGTTCCTCTCTGTCATACAGGTCTCAGCCTTGAAAAATAAACTGAGGAAGCAGTCTACAGCTACGGGTGACGGAGTGGCTAGGGCCTTTCTTAGGGCACAAGCTGCTTTGTTTGGATCCTACAGAGATGCACTGAGATACAAACCTGTAAGCATTTTATTTCATTGTTATTTTAATTTGCTTCTTTATGTTTTTTTGGAATGCGGCCCAAAGAAACACCATTTTAATACCATACCTTAACTTTCTTTTAAATTCAATGTAATATTCTTTAAAGCATATATTCCATTTCCCATTGCATGACTTTTTATTTTGGTTCCTTTGATAACCTTTAGTTAGTATTTACTGCTTTTTTTTTTTTTTTTTGCACTTCACCTTATTAATGTTCTAAAAATGAAGTATTTACCCCTTAACTAATTAATGGTGTTCAAGCACTTACCTGATCTTGTTAAAATCATTAAGAAATTCACCAGACAAGTGAATTTATTTAATTAATAAGTTTAAATATGATGAGTATAAAGTGAAAGTTTAAAAAAATTAGAACTTAAAAATTTTGCAGTATTTGAAAATTTGTTGTATTCCTACTTCTTAACACTTTCTAAAATATGCTTGTCAATTTAGCATATCTTAGCTCCTTTTACCATTTATTTTAGTACTCTAAACATGAGTATTGTATACATGGTTTTAGGTTTTTAGGGTTTTATGAATATTGTATACAAGGTATTGTAACTAAGGTTTTAGATGATCCAAATAAGCATAACTGAAATATATATCTGTTTCCATTATTGATTGAAGTATGTACGTTAGGTTGATTTTATATAAATTATTTCACAAGTGTTCCATGACCGGAAAAGTCTTAAGGATAATAATACTGAATTAATAATAAATATTGGGTGACCTGCCATTCATTAAGATTTTTGTTGGCAAGCTGTATAATGCTCAGTGTTTAGACTTCTATCATGTTAATTGTAAAATGAGAATTTTTACTTTTGTACCCTTTCAGGGTTCATATGTCAACTTGCTTTTAAACTAGGGAGCACTAAATAAATTTGAATGTGCATCTTTGCCTAACTGACTTCTGAATTAATGGTTCCCACTCAATGTCTCTTATTCTCTGAAGGATTATTGAGTTTTTGGAAGCAATCAAAAGACTGTACAAGCCTCTGTCCCTAGATAAATATATATCTTTAGTTTATGTGCTATGTTTGTTATCTTTCTGTTACTGTTTCAGAATTTCTTAGATAATCAACTTATAAAATGTAAAGGTGTATTTTCCTTCATAGTTTTGGAGGTTTGAGTCTATGTTCTGTTGGCTTCTTTGCTTTTGGGCTTGTAGTGAGGCAGCCATCATTGTGAGATGCATACAGAGCTGCAGAGCTGCTGAGCTTCTCACCTCATGGCTGGGATATGAAAGAGCAGAAATAAGAGGCCTGGTTCTCAGTTCCCCTGAAAAGCACACTCCAATCAGAAATCTCTCTCTGAGCAGTGGCTTATAGGTCCCAACATCTCTTGAGAATAAATCCACTGGTTGATGACCAAACCTTTAATACACGGACCTGTGAGGAGCACAAATCCAAACCATAGTACATGCTAGTGTTTTTAAATAGGTCTATATTTTAAAGCATTACAGAGGTTATAGTATATTACATAAAATATATATCAGAGAGGAGAGTCTTAAAAATTTGTTAGGTATAAGGATCTGATTCTTTGAAATACTGGAAATCAAGCAGTCATCCATGTTACAGTAGAGGTCATTGCTGTTCACATTATTAAACTCAATTTAATGTGGAAAAGTACTTTTAAAATAAAGCTAGTTATCTTGTTAAGTCAGATTTTTGTAATACGAATTAATTTCAAGTTTATAGGAAGGAAGGCTAAAAATACCATTTTATTTGAGTTCTGCTGTATTTATTCAATGTCCAAACTAATTTTTCTTATCATTTTCCTGATATAATTTGTGAAAGACTCCAGATTTGAGGAGTCTTACACACTGAAATGAAAAGTAAAATTTCTTAAGTGACTTAAATTACTGTGTAAGGTGTTGAATAAATTGATTAATGTGTCTCATCTTTAGCATTAATCACTATGGATTTATAGATTAATATTCTCCCGATCATTCAACAGAGAGGGGAGTGTGATTTTCATTGATGAATTGTAAAAATTCTTGAAAGACATATTTCTAGTACCTGTAAAAATCATAATTTCATCATAGATTCTATTCATTACATTTTATTATAAATTTATTTGTTAATGTATCTACATTTTTTTTCTTTTTATGGTTGATATTTTCTCCTCTCTTAAGTCTAGTTCTTTTTAGGAACAAGGGGATGATACTTTTGTTTTCTATGCTTTTACATTTCTTCTGACTGAACCTATGAATTAGACCTACTTTTTAAAGTATACTGAAGCTTCACATAATTCTTTGAGACAGGGTTTCAATTTGTAGCTCAAAGGAGCCTTGAACTCACTAGATAACTCAGACTGGCCTTGGACTCAAGATGATCCTCCCATTTGTCTCCTCAGTACTGTAAGCCATTATCTTTACAAAGTACCTGTTTAGTCCTCCTATGAGAGAGAGAGAGAGAGAGAGAGAGAGAGAGAGAGAGAGAGAGAAAGGAGAGAACATGGAGAAAGAAAGAAAAGAGACCTTTACTGCAGGCACAGCAGGGCTACCAAAGAGATGCATGTCCCTGTGAGGGAGACATTGTAACAAGAATGCGGAAGTTAGTGCTAAAGGGAGATCTTGTGTATGATGTGAAAATCACCCAGAAAGACCACCCACAATCCTACTACAAAAAGAACTAGTAAAACACAAGGGATGAGGAACCAGACAGGGTAACAGACCATTGGTCAATCAGAGAGTGACAGTCATGAGTCCTTCATAAAGTGAAGGTGGGTAGGAATCTGGAGCTGAGATGTCCACTTGTGAGAGGTGCAGCTAGAGGAGGAGTCCATAACTAGTGGATACCATTTAGCCTGAATGATGTGGAACCAGGATGGCAATGCAGCAACTTTGGCCGCTGTTGGCATTGTCAAGTAGACCAGGTGAGGTCCACTCTACTTAGGCTGTAACCCTGTGGATTTAGAATATTTGAGATAAATTAAGTCTCTGAGAGATAAGGGGGGGGGGTCTGGTTTAATTCCTTCAAAGGACTGCGGGAGACAATGATCCACATGTTGGTGCAGCAGATTTCAAAGGAAAGTAAGAATCGGGATATAATCTGACAAAGAAGGAAGATCTTGGGAAGCAGGTAAATTATGAAGAATGGTCTGCCATACTTGAGCTCAAAGGGGCATAGGAAGGTAGAGACCAGAAAGTATCCTAAGCTTGGCTAGAGCCAAAGGAAGAAGCTGAGGCCACGGTTGATGTAGTTCTAGAATAAGTTTGTGAGATGGGTCTTACTGAGCCCATTTGCTTTTTCTACCTTCCCTGATGACCAGGCGTGATATGGAATGTGTAAATGCCACGCAGTATGTATGCTAGTGGACACCTACTGGATGATTTGAGAAATGAAGGCCGGGCCATTGTCAGACTGAATACTCTGTGGCAGCCTATTGTAGTCAGGGGTTGTGCAGAGACCAGTTAGAATTAGGACACAGAATTTATAATACTATCTTATGATGGTCACCCAAAGTTAAACTCAGAAAGTACAGGAAATCTGTCCACAACACTAGAGACTCAGAATATTCAGCCAAACACCTGGATCCCACAGCAATGTCTGTTTTACAGATGTCACACCAGTCTGTTTTACACATCCATACTGGAAAGGCCCAAAGGTCAGCAGTGGAAGCTAGAAAGTCTATGCCAGTAGGGTGAAGGAGCTGTGCTGGTAGGCTGAGGGTTCTACACTGGAGCTGAGAAGTAATGCTCAAAACAAGGACCAAGACTGTCCTGAAAAGTACCACAGCTATCCTCAGCAACACAGAGGTCCCAAGCTCCTCTGATGATAAGAATAGTTGAGTACATGCCAGAAAGCCAGCGTGATGAGTTTCTCCTGGAGATTAAACGGCACACATCTTCCCCGCTAGGGCCAGGAAGCAATGCTCAACGTAAGGACCAGACCACTCCCAAAGTGAACCACAGCCACTCTCACCAACAAGATTCCAACCTCATCCGATGACAATGGTCAAACACACTGGGGAAGCTAGTCATGATGAGCTCCTCCAGGAGAACCAATGGCTCAAACAGCAGTACTTAGAGAAACTCAAAATGCCTCATTCATCTTCTTCATGTCTCTATTTATGCTGGCAACTTTCCTCAGGAGGAACATCTATGCTCAGCACCATGCTGATTTAATTCAGCTGGCATTAAGTTGACCACCAGTTTTAAATCCATAACAGCCCAATCTAGGTATGATGTCCTGTAATAGAGCCCTGGTAACTACTGCAGCTGTGTCCCTAGCCATAGGAAAGGCTTCTATTGACCCTGAGAAAGTACAAAGGTAAGAAGATATCTGAAGACTTTGTGACTAGGCAGGTGGCTAAAGTCTATTTGCCAGTCCTGACCTGGAGTGTGTCCCCTAAACTTGTGAGTAGGAAAGGAAAAGGGAAGGTCTTTGAGGAGAGGTTTGACAGTCATGTGTGACCTGGTGAATAATGTTTCTTAAACAAAATGTGTAACCACTGAAGCTAAGAGTTTATGTGAGGCTTTTGGTCTACATGGAAACAGATATATGTAAGCTAGAGGCTTGTTGTGCTGGTAAAACTAGTATAGACCCATGGAAAATTCATGCCTGAGTGTTTCGTGTATAACTTGACTTGTGAGGGAGAAATAGGTATTCTGTTGAGTGTTTGGGGTAGTGGCAAGGAATCTGAGACTAATGGAAGCAGCTGGGTCAGATACAGTACCTCTGTGGCCAGTTTGGTCTATTTGTCTGCAAAAGGTTACCCAGAGCCACAGAATCAGTGGAGTTTTTGTGTGCATTGCAACGAATGACCACTACCTATGCTGGGAGTTGTGCTGCCTCTAAGAGTTTAAGGATGAGCAGCCCATTAATGATAGGAGTGCCCTGCACACTAATGAGACCCCTTTCCTGCCATATTGCAGCATGACAGTGTAAGATGCTGAACGCATACTTGAGTCAGTGTATATGTTTATGTTTTTACCTTTAGCTAGTGTTAGGGCCCATGTGAGTGATACAAGTTTTGCC